CTAACGCAAAAAATAGTTTATCGTTTAAAACTTAAGACACATAAATCCCGTGTTTCACTAGTCCCAAAACTTAAGCGGAATAAAATCACGGTTTTTGTTTAACTTAAAACTTTTACAAATCGGGAAAACGCGAATTTTATTTAAACATCGAATTACAAACGACGCGTTCCCTAGTCAAAAATTGAGTTCAACGACGAGCAAAAAAAACAGAATAAATTTTATAATAAATTGTCCGAATGGCTTCCGAAAGGGTAGGCACTGTGATAAGATAATCCCACTTCTGATATTGTAAGGAAATAAAACAAGATCAAATATAATTAAAGGTTCTTTATTTCGACCATATGATTCGGTAGCTCGTCGAAGACTGAGTTTATCAGAAAAGCCTATGAATGATGAGTCATCTCATCACACACATACATATATATTCAATATTTCTTACACTTAGTTAATATTTATTAAAGTAAGATTTATTTTTGTTTTTCAATCACTTATCGGTAGTTTTTTATAATCAATAATATTATAGAAATATTTTATTTTAGCATTAGTATAAAAAATTTTTACTTAAAATCAGGAGATATTTCCCATGATTTTATACATTAAAAACTTCGCTCCGGAAAAATCAAAACATTTTGAACTTTTTAAATTCATAGGTTGGTGCTGAGTAATGCTGATAAATGAATTCGAAATTGTCTATTTTTTATTACTACTATCGATTTGAAAAATAATTTTTTATAGGAAACTTTATTTTTTTAAAGTAATTACTATGAAATAATTTGTATCTAAAAACGTATAAAATTCTTTTTTTAAAGTATCACATTTCTTAAAAACTAAATCGAAATGAAATTTTTCAAATTGCAATAGTTTACAAAATAATTATAAACAAATATAAATACAAATACAAACACAAAGTTTTAATTTTTAACTTCAATTATTTTCTAAAATTAATTAATTTACTGAGAAAAATAAAAGAATTAATATATTAAATATATTAAATTGTTGATGATTTTATTTACTATTTATTATATTTTATTTATTATTATGACACTTACATCGTGCCATCCGCTCTGGTTTTGTTCAGATGATACCGATAATTGTAAAATATATGGTCCTTAAATGTACGGAATTTCTCGAAATTCTCAGCCATTTTATCAGATATCAGATAAAACTTGAGTATTCTAATAAACTATTTACTGCATAATTTTCTTGAATTATTTTACTTATACGATTTAAAAATATTACTTTGGAAATTAAAGAAGAATCTACACAGTCATCCGAATTTTTTAACAAGCGTAAAAAGTAGGGAACAAAACAAAAGACTGTCAAATACGAAATATACGCTCGTCACGAAAAATACTGATGAAGTCAATGAAGCTACTATTATAAAATTAAGATGATCATAGTATTAACGAGGAAGTAAAAGGATTATAATTAAATTTGTACCTGTTGTTTAATTTTGAAAAAAATAACTTCAAACATTTTTGAAACAAAAAAGAATATCTCTATAATCAATAAAATTTGAAAAAAATTACTATGATAAAAAAATTGACAGTACTTGATCAATAAAATTATTTTTTCATGTATTTTTTGAATTTTATATTTATAATTACATAGAACTTGGCCCTTCCTTCGGCGGGCAACGAAATATTGTGGTGTGGAGCAACAGACTGCACTCTCATACAGAAAGTATATATATTATTAAATATTATGTTATCAAAAATTTTCCTCCTCATAAATAAAAAATTTTGCAGTGTCTTAAATTACATAAAAACCGAAAAAAGTTGGTCCCCATTTTAATGGACGAATTATATTTTAAACTACTGAAAAACTATCGTCGTTCAAACACGTTAAAAATACAAAAGGATAAATTATTGATTACATTCTACAATTTAATAAATAATTATATGTGCTTATTTTACCAAAATGTCAAATTCAAAAAATTTAATTTTATAAAACCACAATAAATTTACATTTTACTAAAACAGAATTTATGCAAATTTAATCAATTTAAGTTTGAAAATACTGAATATACAAAAAACTGAACGAAAATAAAGTGATAAACTAAACATTGTTTTTTTTAAATTATAATTTAAAAATATTCTTCATAAGCAGTAAAAATTTTCTATGTAATAAAGTATTAATATATATATATATATATATTTTTTTTTTTTCATTTTCTTTCTTACCATGGAAATTGAGTCCATTGAAGTCCACAACGATTATCAACGAAAGAAATTTTTTTTATAACTAAATTATTATTTTACAAAAATCATTTCTAAACAATAAATTAGATTCAAAAATGTTAAAGTACGTAATGAAAATACAAAGAATAAAACCAATTAAAATCAATAAAAAAAAAATTTTTTTTTGTTCATGAACGTTGTAGACTTCAACGACATTCGAAATTGTCATTTTAAAAAATGAAGAAAAAATTCAAAGCATAATGCAGATAAGTTTTCTATAAAACGGAATTTCCAAATAAATCAAAAACTAATAATTTAATTTCAGGAACTGAATATATATAAATTATTTTTGCAAAGTAACTAAATAAGGCGAACAGCTATATACTTTGAAAAAAAATTAGCGTAAATTTTGAAAACAAGTGACGTAATTGAAAAAAAAATTGAGAGTTGAAAATATTCGAGCGAACAATGTGATTGGAAAAAAAATGAACAACGATTTCTTATTCCCCTTAAATTTAATCCCCCTCTTATGCTCCTCTGAACTTGATTTTTTTTGTTTTCCTCAGTTTATAGTTTCTCGCGTTCGCGCAAGGATATATAAAAAATTCAAATTTTCAAATTTAATCGCCTCCCGTGCTCCTCTAAACTTGATATTTTGTTCCGCAGTTTATAGTTTCTCTCGCGTTCGCGTAATGATATAAAAATTTCAAGAAATATATTTTTTTTTCGATATAAAGTGTGTGAAAAATGCAGCAAAGACGTGAACCGAGATTGTATCAATTTGGAGGATACGATTATAGAAAAGTCAGGGCTCAGGAAACTGTAATGTAATTATTACAATTAATTTGATTGATTGATAAAAGTCTTTATAGCCATTTTCAACTTTATGTTCAGTCCGCTAACTTTCGACTGAAAGTCGTTGCGACCATATTTTTAAAAAATCTGATTTTAATTTATGTGAAATAATTTAATCAATTTAAGTTTGAAAATACTGAATATACAAAAAACTGAACGAAAATAAAGTGATAAACTAAACATTGTTTTTTTTAAATTATAATTTAAAAATATTCTTCATAAGCAGTAAAAATTTTCTATGTAATAAAGTATTAATATATATATATATATATATATATATATATATATTTTTTTCATTTTCTTTCTTACCATGGAAATTGAGTCCATTGAAGTCCACAACGATTATCAACGAAAGAAATTTTTTTTATAACTAAATTATTATTTTACAAAAATCATTTCTAAACAATAAATTAGATTCAAAAATGTTAAAGTACGTAATGAAAATACAAAGAATAAAACCAATTAAAATCAATAAAAAAAAAATTTTTTTTTGTTCATGAACGTTGTAGACTTCAACGACATTCGAAATTGTCATTTTAAAAAATGAAGAAAAAATTCAAAGCATAATGCAGATAAGTTTTCTATAAAACGGAATTTCCAAATAAATCAAAAACTAATAATTTAATTTCAGGAACTGAATATATATAAATTATTTTTGCAAAGTAACTAAATAAGGCGAACAGCTATATACTTTGAAAAAAAATTAGCGTAAATTTTGAAAACAAGTGACGTAATTGAAAAAAAAATTGAGAGTTGAAAATTTTCGAGCGAACAATGTGATTGGAAAAAAAATGAACAACGATTTCTTATTCCCCTTAAATTTAATCCCCCTCTTATGCTCCTCTGAACTTGATTTTTTTTGTTTTCCTCAGTTTATAGTTTCTCGCGTTCGCGCAAGGATATATAAAAAATTCAAATTTTCAAATTTAATCGCCTCCCGTGCTCCTCTAAACTTGATATTTTGTTCCGCAGTTTATAGTTTCTCTCGCGTTCGCGTAATGATATAAAAATTTCAAATTTTCAAATTTAATCCCCTCTCATGCTCCTCTGAACTTGATATTTTTTTTCGCAATTTATAGTTTATCGCGCTCGTGTAATGATATAAAAATTTCAAGAAATATATTTTTTTTTCGATATAAAGTGTGTGAAAAATGCAGCAAAGACGTGAACCGAGATTGTATCAATTTGGAGGATACGATTATAGAAAAGTCAGGGCTCAGGAAACTGTAATGTAATTATTACAATTAATTTGATTGATTGATAAAAGTCTTTATAGCCATTTTCAACTTTATGTTCAGTCCGCTAACTTTCGACTGAAAGTCGTTGCGACCATATTTTTAAAAAATCTGATTTTAATTTATGTGAAATAATTTAATCAATTTAAGTTTGAAAATACTGAATATACAAAAAACTGAACGAAAATAAAGTGATAAACTAAACATTGTTTTTTTTAAATTATAATTTAAAAATATTCTTCATAAGCAGTAAAAATTTTCTATGTAATAAAGTATTAATATATATATATATATATATATATATATATATATATATTTTTTTTTTCATTTTCTTTCTTACCATGGAAATTGAGTCCATTGAAGTCCACAACGATTATCAACGAAAGAAATTTTTTTTATAACTAAATTATTATTTTACAAAAATCATTTCTAAACAATAAATTAGATTCAAAAATGTTAAAGTACGTAATGAAAATACAAAGAATAAAACCAATTAAAATCAATAAAAAAAAAATTTTTTTTTGTTCATGAACGTTGTAGACTTCAACGACATTCGAAATTGTCATTTTAAAAAATGAAGAAAAAATTCAAAGCATAATGCAGATAAGTTTTCTATAAAACGGAATTTCCAAATAAATCAAAAACTAATAATTTAATTTCAGGAACTGAATATATATAAATTATTTTTGCAAAGTAACTAAATAAGGCGAACAGCTATATACTTTGAAAAAAAATTAGCGTAAATTTTGAAAACAAGTGACGTAATTGAAAAAAAAATTGAGAGTTGAAAATTTTCGAGCGAACAATGTGATTGGAAAAAAATGAACAACGATTTCTTATTCCCCTTAAATTTAATCCCCCTCTTATGCTCCTCTGAACTTGATTTTTTTTGTTTTCCTCAGTTATAGTTTCTCGCGTTCGCGCAAGGATATATAAAAAATTCAAATTTTCAAATTTAATCGCCTCCCGTGCTCCTCTAAACTTGATATTTTGTTCCGCAGTTTATAGTTTCTCTCGCGTTCGCGTAATGATATAAAAATTTCAAATTTTCAAATTTAATCCCCTCTCATGCTCCTCTGAACTTGATATTTTTTTTTCGCAATTTATAGTTTATCGCGCTCGTGTAATGATATAAAAATTTCAAGAAATATATTTTTTTTTCGATATAAAGTGTGTGAAAAATGCAGCAAAGACGTGAACCGAGATTGTATCAATTTGGAGGATACGATTATAGAAAAGTCAGGGCTCAGGAAACTGTAATGTAATTATTACAATTAATTTGATTGATTGATAAAAGTCTTTATAGCCATTTTTAACTTTATGTTCAGTCCGCTAACTTTCAACTGAAAGTCGTTGCGACCATATTTTTAAAAAATCTGATTTTAATTTATGTGAAACTTGATGATCTTATGAGTTCATTGACCACAATATTATGGTGAAAATGTTATTTACTTTAATAATATTAATTATTCGAAGCAGGAGGTTCACGACGTGATTTCGTAATCTTAAATGTTGCACTTTTTTTGTAAACGTTATTTACATATTTTTCTATTTTCAAAAAAAATGAGAGCAATGTGATATTTTTTGTTAACTTCAAGTCCTGGAATTAACCTTTTTAAGTAAACAATTTTCAAATTTATTATTTCCGATACGGAGCAAAAAACCCTTACCAAATTTTCATAGCAGGTAAATTATATCAATATTAAAATATGTGCGAAATCCCAAAGTTTTTGAAGCATCCAGAAAAAATGTACAAGCTTCGAGAAAAACCCCACCTTTTTTTTGCTCAATTTTTTTTGGGAATTGTGTTCACAGGGAAGAATACTTTCCATAAGAATTTAACTTGTGCCCGATTCTGGTACAGGATAAAAAAAATTTTCTATTCTTTCAAAGAAAAACATCATTTTTCTCCAAAAATACACTAGATGTAAAAAATTTCTTGCACAAAAGTTGTTCCTCTTTGAAAGACCTAAAAGACCATGTCAAGCCTGCCTGATTTGAAATGAATTCGGTCTGAAGTCTAGTAAAGTTCCACGTTACCGAATTCGTATTTTACCTTGGCGTTTGATTTTGTGAATGACCCGTATCCACGAGTTTTAAAACCGATATAAAATTAGGGCACAACGTTGGCAACTGAAGTGTGATTTCAGGGTGGCCACTAAATTTTGTTGATAAAATTCAAGGCCAATTCTAGTTTTTTTCCAGGATATTAAGAAATTTTCAAAGTCTAAAAATTACAGGGTGTCTTGCGAAACATGTTTTTAAAATTCCCGGATTTCTCAAATTTTAAATCCAATTTTTCCCATATTTTTTAAAATCATTCATAGATATATTCTATTAAAATATTTTTAAAAACTCATAATTTTTGCTTTAAAAAATTCGGAAATTGTTTTTTTAGGAATTCACGAATATTTTTGTAAATTGCCTGCAATTACTCGGGTTTTTTTCCCGGTGGAACTAAAATCCCAACAAATTCCCGGTTGCTAAATACCCTGAAATTATCATTTTATATAGAAATATGTAAATTTGACAAGCAAAAAAAAACGTTTGTTGAGCAAATCAGACTCTAGATTGTGAATTTTACCCACATGTTTATTTATTTAGCAATAAAATTAGTAAAATTCAAGGTTCAAGAAAAAATTCAAGGCCAATTCAAGGCTTTTTCAAGGTTTGACAAAATTCACGTCAAATTCCAAGTTTTCAAGGTTTCAAGGTCTTGTGGCCACCCTAGATTTGTAAAATAAGTTTTATCGCGCTTCTCGTCACTCCGGATTCAATTTCGAATCAATGAGTAAGCAGACAAGTGTTTTTACGCAAATCAGAAGAAGTCGCGCCCATTACGGTTTCTCACATTTTTTATGACAATCGTACAAGAATAGTTACTCTTCTATTGGCCTTGTAAAGTGTAACTATATATTATTTGTTTGCGATCATAAAGTTATAACACACAATTCAGTAAATTTAACTAAACAAATAGGAAAAGTCACAAAATACCCAATACAATTGTCATAACTTTATGATCGCAAACTATTTTGTTTAGAAATAACATCGCTTAAAATCCTTCGCATGCAGTAATTGATTTTGTGAAAAAATAATAGTTATTTAATTGAAAATCGCATTTCTGAGAAAAGGAAAAAGTCTCATTTTACGCTGTATAAAATTTGAAATGTCACGTTAAAAGAAATTAAAACATAAAGTTCGAGTCCTGTATTACAAAGATCCAATGAAAATTGAAATCCAAAGCATAATTAAAATTAATTACCATAGGAGAGTTTCGAAACATGTTGAGAAACTTCACAGCCATTTCGTAGTCGCGTAGAAGATGATAAGAAATTGCAAAGCCGATCCAAGAAGCTCGCTGGGTTGGCCTGAGCATAAATAATTGATACCTGGTGTCCTGAAAATTAATACGAAATTCGTTTAATTGACCATTTCGATGTTTTTATTTCCCGTCTTGTATTTACAAAATTTATGTAAATTACAAAACGAAGAAAGAGAGGAATGCAATTATAATTTTATGTCAAGTAAAATTTTTTTAAAAGAACAAAAAGAAACGAAATTCTCGAATTGAAATATGTGAAATGAAAAATAAACCTTGTTGCCATCGAGATCGCGCATCTGAATTTGAAGAAGGGACAAATCTCGAAGAATTTGAATTTTGCCTTTGTCCCATTTGAGCGTGTTCCGATAATGCTTGATGGCCTCGTCGTATTTTTTATCCGATCGTTGAAGCAATCCGTAAACGTACCAACACACGTGCGATTGCAAATCGTTTCTGAGTCCACGTCGAACATGATCGTATGCTTCCTCCTTGCGGCCGAGGATATTCAGGGTGAGGCCCTTCATCGCCAACGTTTCTCCATGTTCGCTGAATTTCGGATTCGATAATATTTATTTTGCGAACTTCAACCCATTTTTATATTATTTGTGTTCGTAACAGCTCTGCAAAACACAACAATTATTATGTTGTTGTTTTTAATAATATAAGTTCTTTTCTATTAAAATTTTACGAAGGTGTCTTGCTCCGTTATATTAATTTCTAAATATTTCCATTAAAAAATGTTAATTCTAGGACTTAAAATTAACTGACAAATTTCACACCAATTTACTTTTGTCATTCATATTACAAATTCGTTGCTGTATGTAAAATTAATTGAAATTTAATAAAAAATATTTTAATTTAAAAATAAATCGCGAAGTGAAAGTTATTTGCTATTACTATGTACAATAATATTTGCAGACATCTGAGATGCGCAGATAGAAATATTCGCTGTCCAGGAACTGGAAAGTTTGACATTACAACTGCTGTATTTAGTTTGAAAAGGGATCACTGTCATAATCCAGTGACGAGCTTCACACGCGAAGAAAATAACTCTTTTGTGGATGAGTTAAAGAGAACTGCAAAAACGCAGTTAGATAATTTAGAAACGCTATACGAACGGGTAGCACAGTTGTAAGTTTTAATTATATATATATATGAAACAATAAAAAAATTGTTATCATATATAATAATATATATAAAATAGCTTTCCATTTTTTCGAAAAATTTCTAAAAATATTATTTTCTTTGCACAAATGTTGGACAATAATTAAAAAAATATATTTATTTATATATGAAATAAATATAAATATAATATTATATATATATATAATATGTATGTATTATATTATACATTATATATTTAATATAATTAATTTATAAATATGTATATATATTCTTATTCAAAATTTGTGTAAAAAAACATAATATTTTTTATAAATTTTTCGAAAAAATCAAAGGCTATTAACAATTTTTAATGAATTTATTTCAGTCACCAGAATGCAGCACAGCGAATGCCCTTTCGCCAAGTGAAGAGTACGATGGAAAAGGCGAGAAGGGAGAATGCTCCCGATACAGTTATAAGGTCCATCGAAGATTTCATGCGGATAATAAATTCTGCGGAAGGAACTCACATGCGCCAGCACAAAAGTGGACAATTAAAATATGAATTTGACCCGGAAAGTCAATCAATTCTAATTTTAGACGAAGCTTTCTGCCGATCCGTTTGTGTCGAGAGTAATTCGTTTTTTATTCATAAACGAAACATAAGATTTCTACAGAATGTCGGATGCTCAGCTTTATTGTCATTCATGATTCTGTGGAAAGAATCTTTTGTAAGTTTTCAATATTTTAATGGTTTTGTTGTAGAAATATTTACTTTAAAAACAATTTATTATTTCAAATTCGTAGGTTCTACCAATGGCCCATGTACTCCTCACGCAAACATCAGAGGCAGTGTATGTTGCAGTATTAGAAAAAATCAGTACTCTCGTCAACGAATTTAAAATCGCAAATGTAACACTACCAATCAACCGAGAGTTAAAAAATGCCATCGGTTTGACTTTTCCCGAAGCGGAAGTCAACGAGAGTTTAAATTCGTTTTCGCAAGTAAGAAAATAAAATATTCATTAATGAGGATGTCCTACGAAAATGAAAATATATATTCCCTGACTTTTCCCTTAGAAAAAATATTTGATACTCGGGAAGAAAATTTTAAATTCATTAAAAATGTTTTATTTTTGGACATTTTAAAAAATTTTCCTGACTTTTGCTCCAATTCCCTGATTTTCCCTGCCTAAAAAAATCCTCCAACACAAATTTCACGCTATTTTGAGTAATTTTTTAATTTTCTTACTTACATATACAGAAAGTGTTCGCATTGTATCTGAGAAACAATTTGGAAATGAATTTGGACCAAGTTATTGGAAATAACGACGAGCAGGAGAGTAATATGAAATTATTACTACAAAATATGCTGGTTTTGCCACTGCTCCCGGCAGTCGATATCCCTTTAATGTTAAACGATTGGCGACATGAAGATTGGGGAGAAAATGCGGAGGTATAATTACTATTATTATTATTATTATTATTATTAAAAAATAAGTAAGTATCAATTATTAATTATTATTTTATAGAGCGTCAGAATATTATTAATTGGGATCGAAGAAGTGATTAGAGGGATAAATATGGATATTGATTCGATGTACAAAAAACCTCTCTCACTAACAAATGTCTTCGAACTATTCGACAACAGGCTGAAGGCAAATGTCAACGCCTCTGACGTTTGGCAGTTCGCAAGTAAGTTATTATTAAATTATTAAATATTACATTAATTACCATTATTCAATTAATAAATTAATTATTATTATTAATTACAGAGGGAATCGCTGCTCTCCAAAACCGAATTTATCTTGATAAATTAAATATCAGCCTAAAAAAATATCAACTCTCGCAGTCGCCGAGATATTTAAGTAAGGCATTGGTATCAAATATAAAAGAAAAATGGGTTTTGCTGGACGAGGAGAAAATAACAAAAAAGGAATTCCTAACCAACGCATTTTATTTATTTGGCGAGGAATTGAAAAATGTCGTTTTGTTTCGCATGAGAAACAACCGTGTCGAGGATGAAGAAAATGCAGTTCATTTCGAGAATGAATTTCATTTAAGAAATGCACTCGATTTGGCGCAAGAAGTTCATTTGGAGAACGAACTGGAAAATGAAAATGACATTGGAGCAGAACCTCGAAACCAAGAGAATCACGAAGTGATTCAAGATGATAGAAATGGTGAGTAAAAATAATTCAGATCATTTTAAAAAAAAATATTAATAAAGATGAAATTTTTTGAATGTAACATTATACGTACCCGTAAATTTCTTTTCTTCTGTTCATAGAAAGGACTGGAGCAACGTGCTGCATTTGTCAGGTCGAAACTCCAACAATGGCATTCGTGCCATGTGGACACAAAATCATCTGCGAGGAGTGCGAGCCGAATTTCAGGGAACAGGGCAACAACACATGTCCAAATTGTAGGGATGAGTTTGTCTTTCTGGTCCGTATATATCAATGAGTCCACCAAAGCAGAAGCCATTTCGTAAACGATCGATAAATCGTTTTACATCCGCCGCATTCCCATCCGAAAAGTAATTCCTTGACGGCGCCCATTGCCGCTTGAAAGGTCGCGTCCCAATTCATCGTAGTCGTCATAAAATCAATCTCCCCGGAGTAAATGTGCTGTAACCCTATTCTGCAGCATTTTATGCGGTGACTTTAGTTTTCCACGTTCCGGCAAACACTCGCGTACCCATTGCTCGAAAAATGAGTCGCCACCTTCCTCGAGAACGTCACAACCGTATGTCGACACAATCGAGTAGAGTATCAAGAATGTGACATTGAAAATTAAACTGCGCGATGACGCGGCTTTCTCATTGATTGCAGGCTCGTTCATTTGTTTGCTCGCCTCGTTGAATTTGATCATTTTCGTCACAAATGCCTTCAATTTGCCATCGACGGACGCAACCGCCATTATTAAATCGAAACTCTTTCCGGCGAGAATTTTATGAAGCATACTCAACAATGCGTCCTTGATTCTCGCGTTGATGTTGAATTTAACGAACAAAAGTTTTAATTACTGGTGCTCTCTAAATCTGAATTAAAAAAAATGTTTACTAATTTGAATTAGTGACTCACTTTTTGCTTTTGAATCGAGTACTCGAATTTTTCATCACCTGCAAATAATTGTTATTTTGAAAAATACATTGAAATTTCTTACAATTTGGAAAAATTGAATTTTAAATTTATTAAAATGTTGCATAAAGGAAATTGAAGAACCGTTCAAACTAGCGGTGTGTAGTTCTTTCAATATAATTGGAACCTTCAAGAAAATGAAAGCTCACCAGTGTGACTCGCTGAATGATCCGGTGACCCTGTGTAAACTCATTAAACTAGCGCGAATAAGCTCGCAATAAAGTCGCGCGTTCGTGTAATTTTTCAGACGTTGCACCATTTGCAATTGACTGACAAAAGTTGCCGTTTCTGTGCTTGAATTCAATGAGCCCTGAACGGCCAGCAGTGATTGCACCTCGATTTCCTGACATTTCTTAACGACCTCCCCATAAAGATCTTTCAGATAATATAAATAATTCTATACACAACCAACAATTAATAATTGATAATTAATAAATATTAATAAATTTTCGAGAATTTTGTTGGATTTGATTGAATTACCTTTGTCGTCGTGTTTGGCTAAATACATCATGGCGCAGATGAAATTGGAATTGGGCATTTCTTTGAGAATACTGGCAGGTTTGTCGATCAATTTAGATGATTGCGGGATGAGTGGATTATTTTGTGGCGCTTTCGACAATGCTTGCAAGTAACACTGCAACAACCAATGCACGACCGACAATATTGCTGGGGCAAGAAGATCCTACTCCGGTTTTCCACGGCACGTTATCCCAATATGAATCGTTTCCAGGAAAATCAGCAGACTCATAAATATTTGCAATCACCTGAGAATTGAGCGAATGTTTGAGGTAAATGATTTGGACCCGGACTAACTAGAGCTTGTTGAAGTATACAGTCTGCTAGATTGTAGAACTTGGCCACTTACACCTCGCGGTAAAATCTGTCAAATGAAAAGAAAAATGTTTCATAATAGAAAATTTACTAGATTTTTATTACGTTTAATTTTACACGTTTTTCGTCTTTGGTGGAAGATTTCTTACAGTTTTAATATTTATGCCCCACTGTAGATCACTTCAACGTTCATGCCAAGCTCTCTCAGTAAAAGAGCCTTTAGGCTACTAGTTTTGCTGGTAACTTTATCCATTGTCAAAAGAATATTACACATGATGTTTCGCTAAAACGAATCTGAAAATTTCAGATAATTTAAGCATACAATTTTATAGAGTTACCGATTTTTTAAACAATATTGCAATATCATATTTGACTGTAAAATAATAAAATTATTTGAATGAGGAAATTTTATTTTTTATTTATAGATGTGAATGAATAAAAATAAAAAATATATCTTTATAAATTATAAATTTGTTTTTCAACAATAAACTGCTTTATTTATGAATGAATAAATCTTTACAATTGCAAATAATTGTATTTTATTACTTATATATATATTTAATCAACGAACTGTTAACCAAAAAAGCATGACACTTTCGATATGTCATCAACATTTTCAAACTATTCGTAACACAAGACAAAGCATCTTAAATAAAAAAATGTAATTTGGACATTAGTATAAAAACGAAAGTATTAATCTCCAAAGGCTTATTATTGTCATTTTTATGCGAAAGAAAATCTTGGAAAATATTAAGCAATACAAGACCAAACTAACCTATAAAATTGTGAATACGGATATTTTATTTTTGCCCTGACAGTAAATAACAAAAATAAAAACTCACGTGCATTTACCCTCGACCTTGTATAATAAAATCACTGCAGAAAACATATTTTTTTATATCTGTTATAAATCAAAAACTATTTATTAAGAAAAAAGTAACAAACAGTACAGACCCTCTCACGGTGAAAATTACCAAGGCATTGTCGCGCTTTCAATTCCTTTCAGAAATAATCAGTAGAGCCCTCTACATCTACTTTTACCGACAGAAATAAATTCACAGGGATGAGAAACTCATGTCCAGAGAGTGACTTCTTTTATTTTGTGACAAAAAAAAGCTGACACTAGAATATTTTCGAGATTATTATGATATACGATAATACTGTTGTGCAAATTGAGGTTAGATATCAAGAAATGTTTGTTAATTTACGTTTATAAATTAAAATATTTTACAAAGTAACGATTAGATTAAAAAAAAAGTAGACAAAATTAAATTTTATTTTTATAATTTTGATAAACTTACATCTAGAGAATTTTAACATTGACTAAATAACAAGTAGATACAAAAAATTATATATAATTATAAATTGGACAATTTTAAATTAGCAAATATTCTTATTTGGTTCAATAAATCTTAGAAAATATACACCGTAGCTTATAAAAATGTTACATTATTTAAATTTTCGATAGAAATAAATTTGAAAATTTTATGATTATAGTCAATTATAAATCGATGAAAATATTATTCTATGAAAATATTTTCTACAAAATTGTTCTTTGAAACAATAAAAGTTATCCCTAAATAACATTAGACAAAAATAAATTTGAACTATTTCTGCGTTTACATTTTTAAATTAGACGGTGTTATGCGTAGACAATATCAAGATGCGGGATTAGGCATGCGTCTCGTTTTCCTTAAAAACAATATGAACATCAACTCCAATTGTGCTCGCTATATTTTTCCTGTAATGTACACGCAAAAATACGTAAGTATACCAAATATATGAACTGCCTTCGTCAAATATTGTGTGCGCTAGGAGGATTAATCGCTTTTTTTTTTAATTTTTGATTTTTCCTTGACAACGCTATGTAAATTAATCCGAATCATGTTCGCTATATTTTTCCTGTAATTTTCACGTAAAAATACGTAAGTGTACCAAATTTGAGCTCTCTATGTAAAAAGATGTGGCAACCAGGGGGGGGGGGTACATAGTCATTTTTAGGGATTTTTCGTAAAAATTCATGGTTTTTCCTTGACAACGCTATGATAATTAATTCCTATGAGATTCGCTATATTTTTCCTGTAATCTACACGCCAAAATACATATGTATACCAAATTGCAGCCATCTAGATAAATTCGTGTGGCCGCTAGGGGGGGGGGTACATGCCTTGCTTCACTAGTCTCATTAATAGGGTTCCCCCTTCGGGTACGGAACCCTAAAAATGACTTTTTATCATTAAAACTGAAAAATTTAATAGTAATATCGTTTAAAAAAAATTCAATATTTTTGAAAAGTAAGTTTAAAAACACACAATTTGAGAATAGTATATTTCGATACAAGGGGCCAAACGAGCGTTTTGCTCATTACACGAGTAATGGGCATACGCTCGTGAGGCAACGAGTATCGAACCATATTTTTCTTTATAAGTGCAGGCATAACCTCGTTTGACAGCTACTTGCAGCTATTCAAAATGGCCGACTCCCTCATTCTGCGCGCGGACGATGAGCAAAATGTTTTGGCCACCGCTTAACGGTGAGCAAAATACTTTGTTCATCGTCCGCGCGTACAGTGACCGACGATTTTATCAAGTGAGTAGTGTTCATATGATAAATTTACCATATGAGTAGTACTCACATGGTAAAATTGTCGGTAAATCTATCACATTTCACTTTTATTTCTTTTTTTTTAAATTATATATTTCTTATTCCAAATCGGCTTTTTTAGACTTCGAAACATTTATTCTTATTCATTTATAATGCAAACTCGAATAAACAAACGTCAATTCAAATGTTTAAGAGAAAAGAATTCGCGGTAAGAAAAAAATAATTCACCGTAACGTTCCAATTCGGTTTTTTCGCCAAACCGCATTCAGCTTAAGTTACCACCAATTCTTTTCGCTTACTCCTAATTATTTTTTTTTACTGGGTACTTAATTGAATGTAACGATGAACATATTGGTTCAACATTAATGATTGCATTCATTCTTAAAAGTAAATACGGATTGTACGGTACACCAAAACTATTATCAGCAATTCTGCTTTTTGAGAATATTATTTTTAGTGCACTTGTTTGTATTTATGTTCAAACAAGGAGATGTTAAGTTCTGTTTTCCACATGGTCCATGAATCATAAATTGCTTTACTAAATTAAATAAACGTGGATTAGTTATTTCATCAGGTATTTCTGCTGAAATAAAGTTGTCGACATCGTCTGTTGTTCTTATTTTGTCATCTATATGTAAATATAGTAATAAGTGAATATGCGGTAATCCTCTATTCTGAAATTCTATTACATATGTGTAAGCAATACAAGTACCAAATATTTCTTTCACAGTAATTTCATGAAATAATTCTTTTACTTTCTGTTTAAATACTGTTGCAACTATATCTGGCCTATTTATTACATCTTCATTTTTTTAATATTATCAGTAATTTCTTTCCATTTAGGATTACATGTCATAGTTATAAACAAATTAGGTTTACCATATTTTTGAACTAAACAAATTGCATCACTAAAAGTTTGTTGTAATGCTCTAGGGCTTCCAGCAAAACTAGATGTCAATATAAACATTTTACCAATTTGAACATTTTTCTTCTCTTCTTTTCTCTTATGTAAATAATCCATTAATCCAGAGTATAATTCAGTTCTCAAGATATGTTGTTGTTTCTTTATGAAATATAATTTTGCACCTTTAATTTTTACAAAAGCATCAACAATAAATTGTTGGCTTAATTTACCTAAATTAAGAAATGGACTAAACTCATCTCTAACACTAATTTTAAATGAGTAAAACTGTAAAGCTGTTATATTGTTTCTTTGATCTTTTGATAATAATTTCGGCATCCAACCACTACCTCTTGCAGGATATATTAAAGGATATGTCATTGGATCTACATGTCTACTTATTACAAAGATGCTAATTGGTTTATCAAATTTAGAATATACACAAAAATCGCGTTTTATTGAAGGTTCATCATTTTCATCAACAAATACAACAGCAACTTCATTTGTAACAGGAGAGTTATATCGGTTTTTATCTAAATTAATATCTCTTTTCATAATCATTTTAATTTCTCGAGGTAGATTATTATTATTAGTAGCAAATTCTTGTTCTTCTTTTTCTACTTCGTACATCATTTTGTACGCTTTAGAATAAGGGTTAATTTTTCTGATCAACTTATCTAAATTACATAAAATATCATGTCTGCAGTTATTATTAATATCTTTACGACTTTGTGTAGCTAATTCATTGTCAATTATATACAGTTTATCATACTTTCTGCATTCATTTTCTTTGGGATGTAATGAATATGTGTTATGGTAAATTTGACAACAAATTTTAAAGACTTGAGGACCTTTATTTTGTCGAGAAGCATATGTTGCACAAAGGTTGCGAACGCTATTGTATTGTTGTAGCTTCTTATACATTTTTTATAATGTTTACTAATTGCAGTTTGACCACAAACCATTTCTTTTAATTCTACCTGGGGTAATGGATCTTCAGTTAACAAAACTTTGCCTTTATGACAACATGTACTAAACTTTTTATCCTCTGGCATTTCTGAAAGAAAATGCATAGCTGTACAAAATTAACAAATAACATCCAAATTTCCTAAAAACTTTCTGTAATTCTATCTTCATCTTTGGTCATTAAGTCATTAAGTTTTTTTGTTGTTTGTTGTCTTAACTTTATTCTTACAAATTACTATATTATTTGCTAACTTCAAACATTTTGAATTAATATTATTATTGGCTTCTAATTTTCTTTTTCTACAATTTTCTCGATATTCTTCACATTTTTCAATATTTTGTAATTTTATTTCTTCATTCTTAATTTTTTTTTCATTTTTCGATATCTTTTACATTTATCCATATTTTTTGATTGCAATTGTTTATCATTTTTCTCATCTTTAATTTTTAACATCACATCGTTTTCAATTTTTTTTAATACTTTTACGATATTCCTTACATTTAATTTTATTTTTTAACTGACCATCTTTGTCAATTTTTTTCTTTTTAATTCGATATTTTTTACATTTCTCTTTACTTTTTAATTGAATTTTTTAAATAACTTTTTCCTATATAAAAATTTTAGTTGATTTTTGTCAGAATTGAATTGCTGGCATTATTTTTCACAAAAGATGAAAATTTTTAATTTTTTAAAACTAATAGTATAAGTTCTGTTAATCAAGATGAGGAAGCTAAATATTGTCATTAAATGAACCACTTTTTTAAAGTGTTGAAATCATGGAATTGTGTTATAAATTGTTATTTAAATAATCAGGAAGATTAAAAAAATTTAATTTAATATAACCGTGGAATATTTCATCCATATCACTGGAATATTCCCTCAATATTACTTGGATATATATATATATTTTGGTTTTCTTAGATAATCATTGGAATATTCCACGGTGATATTCAAGGGATGTTGAGGGGATACACCGTGCTGCTTGAGTTCCTTTATTATATAATAATAAAAAATGGAAATGGAAAATGAAAAAAATGTTAATAATTTCATACATGACTGTAATTATGGCGTCGCAAATGACTTTGTCACAAATAAGACTTCTTATAATTTAAAAATTTAATTATTATTTAACAATAATAATTTAAAATTTGATATATGTTTATTTTTTTCGATATAATGAATCAATAAATCTTGTTTTTTGAATTGATGTTTCATGTTTATATTCATTACATTGTATTATAATTTTTCATTAACAGCAACACCATAAAATTTTTTTAAAAATATTTATAAAATTTGAATTTTATATTATAAATTCTTGACAATTTTTCTAAAAAACAAAGAATAAAGCATCTCATGTCACTCCCAATCTTACACAAATGCACTCAATCAATGCTCATTTCCGAAGATATAACCCTTTTAGATTTTTAAATCATTGATTACGGAGATCGCTAAAACGATTTAACATTCGTTTTAGGTTTGTTAACTACGAAGATCAGTTCGATTATATATTTAATTAAATAATCAATTAATAGTACTAATTAATTATATGGAATTAAAAATATATTTTTAGATTTACAAATTTGAATACTATATAATATTAAAAAGTAGGGTATTCGTTAGGAAAAGTGGTAAGGCCCTCACCAGTTTTCCTTACATAGCATTTAGTAGCAATTGAAAAAAGAGAAACAATTTACAATCAATATTGTAGAATAAAATCAGAATTTAAGTCAACAGACATATAAAATTTGTTTTAGTACATTAAATTAATTTTTTTTAAAAAAGTAATTTGAAAATTAAAAAAATTGAATTATTATAATTTATAATTAAATAATAATTTAAAACAAAAAATAAATATACATATGAATAAATTACAATACGTAAAGAAAAAAAAGTAAAACTTCAACCGAGCGAACGTTAGCGAGCGAGGAATATATCGCTAGTTAATAAAATGAAGTTGATTATATGAAAGGACCCCGCACGTTTTGCATGGAAAATGGCTTTCAGCCAATTTTTCTGAAACTTTGTAGTTTTGTAGTTTAAGGCCTCCTGAACAAAAAATTTTAATGGCAAAACTTAAAATAATGGACAGTTTTTTTGCTACAATGGCTCAAAGTTAAAAAACAATAGCATTATGGGCATAGACTTTTGTGAATTTAAAACTTAATTAAATCTGCTTAAAACTCGTTACTCGGGGGTTTTTGGGGTCGCTGATTACGAAACCGAGTTTTGTTTTTTAAAATTCAAAATGGCGGATCCACTATAGCCGACGATTTAAAAAAATAATCATTGAATTCTCTTGAAAATGTTTATTTTGGGGTTTTCGGGGTCGCTGATTACGAATCCGAGGTTTGTTTTTTAAAATTCAAAATGGCGGATCCAATATGGCGGACGACTTTCCTAAAATCTGATTGAATTCGCATGAAACTCATCACTATATGATCTGTACAAGCCAGAGGACATACGATGAATCAGGAACACCAGCGACTCAGAAGTCACATCACATGAACTCTCCTCTTTTCCTTTTGCCCCTTTCCTGGCCGCACAAGCCAACCCCTACACCCATACACTGGTCTTCTGTCGCCGGCAGCGAGATAAAGACAGGAAACGAAGGAAAGAAACTGCTGCATATAGACGTTCATTCTGCGATTCCCATGCGTTTTCTGATGTGTACGAACAATTTGCTTTATTAATAGAGAAAAAACCACAAAGCAAAAAAAGTCACAAGAATTCAAGCGATTTTGGATCCGTCTTTTTGAATTTTTTAAAACGAACGTCATAGTAATCAGCGACCCCGAAAACCCCAAATAACCATTTTCAAGAGAATTCAATGATTATTTTTTAAAATCGTCGGCTATAGTGGATCCGCCATTTTGAATTTTAAAAAACAAAACTCGGTTTCGTAATCAGCGACCCCAAAAACCCCCGAGTAACGAGTTTTAAGCAGATTTAATTAAGTTTTAAAAGTTTTAAATTCACAAAAGTCTATGCCGATAATGCTATTGTTTTTTAACTTTGAGCCATTGTAGCAAAAAAACAGTCCATTATTTTAAGTTTTGCCATTAACATAAAGGCCTTAAACTACAAAACTACAAAGTTTCAGAAAAATTGGCTGAAAGCCATTTTCCATGCAAAACGTGCGGGGTCCTTTACACATTTATAATCACCAATAACAATCCTATTCAAAAAATTTAACCCAATAATGGTTTTTAAATATTCACAGCGTTATTATAAAAAAAATATATTTTTTGGTAATTTTACGATTTCATTTAATTTAAATGAAATTTTCTAATTTTTAAATTTAAAATAATTTTATTGTAAAATTACAGTAGAAGACTTATTTTTTTAAGTCTTATATTATGATATTTAAACTTTAAATCATATAATTTAATTAATTTCACTCCTGCGCCACGCAACCTTGCATAACTTCAAATAAAGTGGTATAAAAATAAAAGTATTAAATGTATTTCTACTTTCTTTTTTTTTAATTAAAGCTGATATGTTACAACAAGTTTTCTATACATTAACTTTTTAAAAAAAGCAAAAATGAGTGAGTTACACAACAAAGAGTAAAAAGTGCGCCAAGTAACCCCGGTCTCCCCTAATGTAGTGCAATGGCCCCTCTGCAACCAATTACGGGCAGAAACTACGACAAAACCAAGGTGTTTGGCCCTGCCCCAAAACCTCCATCAAGCCAACTTCCCGCCAAACGCATCGCCACACCGCTGCCTATTATAAAAGAAGATTTCGAGTCAACTTTAATTAATATATGCATCAAGGAAGAAGAACGCATTAAAGAGGAAAAATGTAAGAATTTAAAAAAGAAAATCAGCAAGTCAGAGATGCCCGTTGTAAGACTTACTCGCGTAAAAACCCCGATTAAAGAACCGGTAAAAACAATTAAGAAAAGCAGTGTTTCGTCCGCCGTTAAAGTGCCTGTTTTGAAATTATCTGCAATGCCCGAAATTGCAAAAGAGAAAATTGCAAAACAAATGAAAACCCCGAAGTTGGAAAAACAGCCGCCAACTAAAAAATAAAAGAAAACAATTAGTAAAAAACCAGTGATAACTGACTCTATTATACTTACCAAACCAGTAAAAATAATAGAAAAACTCTGTGAACCGCAAAAAAGTGTTTCTATAGTCGATTTAAATAATAACACTGTACTTCCTAAAAAAGTGGAAAATAGTAGAGAGAATCCTCTATCACTTTGTAAAATCCTTTGCCACTTGCCCTCCACCGTCGCCAAACTTCCTGGTGGACCGTGGTCTCGTATTGCAATCGGTGTCACTAGATACCGCATTCCTATCCAAGGAAGAAAATAGAATCTTCGCTTGGATAAATCAAACAAACGCATACGACACGCAAGGAAAACTATGTAAGTGGTACTTTAGCTAGAAAAAAATTTTGTAAAAATATTTTTTTTTGTTTTAAAAAATTAATTTTTTTTATGAAAGAAAAAAATACTTTTTATTTTATTGCATATTTAATTCTCCCCTGGACGCTCATTAGAATTCACTTATTTTAATTAATTTAATCCATACTTTTCTAAAATATTGTCATTGTTGGTGAAAGTCCAAAAATCAATTATGATTGAATTCGATAAAATAGTTTTTGAATTACAACGTTTTTAACTTTTGACTTTTTAAAAAAAAAATTTTCTTTGTACAATATTTATAAGTAGAATGCATAAAAGTTAACATATATAATGATTTTTAAAGCTGTTTTGACGGGCTACACGATGGTGATAAAATTTTTTTTTAAATAAAATTTAACCTTGAATTTAAAGGTCAAAATGTTAATTTACGTATATTTCAAAATCGGATTTTTTTTATTTTTATTAATTATCTCAATGGAAAGCTTGACTAATTTCCTACAAAACATGTAATTTTCAGAATGGGATCTTTTAAAGTTTTTGAGATATTAATTAACTAATAAATAATGCTTTAAAAATTAGTTTACTATCTGTAGAATATGATCCTACATTACAAATCTAGAATTAGATGTGTCAATGTCTATATTAAACATAAGTTTAGCACTTCAGATGCTACCAAATGCAGTTAACTATGAGCACGAGATTCCTCTATTCTTTCGGTTTCTTGTCAATATAATTTTATTAATTGTCATTAGCAAACACCATTAGCAAGTGATAGTAAATCTTGGTTTTAGTACAACGTGCAATGTAGCTCAACCAATTTTTAACCGATTTTAATTAAACTTACCACCAATCTTCTTTATTTTACTGGCTATTGCATGACGAGCTCCTTTTCTTAAAAAAAAATTTTTAACAATTGTTTTTGAACATTGTTTATAAAAAAGTAATTTTTTTCAAAATGGTCCCAAATTTTCAACCAAATCATAATCAAAGATGCAACTTCAAACGCCTGTAACGCCGCCATTTTGTAATATTTATTAATAAAAAAAATTTTTTTTATAGCTCATATTGTGTACTTTAGGGTATGATTTACTTTAATTAAATAAACTTTACCAGTTTTTAAAAAAAAATCCTGAAAAAACGTGCATTTACACCAGTTTCCCCCTTAACTAATTAAATTTAATTGAAATAAAAAAATTAACTTTTCTTCGAATCTAAATTGTACTGAAAAAAATAAAAGCAGAATGTGCACAGCACAGCAGTTTTTCTTTTCAGAAAAGAAAATTTTTACCTTAGTTACTAATTGTAAGGTAACAAATGCTTGTCAATTATCAAGTAAATTTTGTAGATTTGTCAAAGGGAATTTTATGATTAATTCAAACGCTGAATACAAAAGTAATAGATTTACTACACAAATGAAATCTGTGAAATTTTGTTTAAGTATTTAAAGGCATTAAATAATTTTTTTATTAAATTTTTTTTGAAAAAAATTATTAAAATTAGGCTCCTTTTTGGCGTTATAGAGTGGTTTAACCACTTAAAGTCAACCCTAGACTAGTCTAAACTTATCTTTATCTGAACTAAAATAAAATTACCCTTAATTTTATTAATGTAATGTAATTGGAATTTTATTAAATTACAAAAAACAAGGCTAACTGCATCTCTCAAAACAACATATCCTATTCTTAACAATATGCTCAAGTCAACTTCATAAAACTTGATAAAAATTTATTAATTTCTTACTGACTAAATGAAAAATTACATATATCTAATAGAGAAATTTTCATTTTTCCATAATTTAAATACAAATAACATATTTTTAACTTTAATTTGTACGCATTGAGTCTCAATTTTTAAAGAAGTTAATATGAAAAAAATGTCAGTTTTAAGAGGATTTGTTGTGCAACTTTTCAATACAAACACTTAATTGCTGAAGTCGATGTAAAAGATGGCGCATATTGGAACTCGATTGTCTAAATCCAGACTTATCGCCACCGAAATCTTGTCTTTGTCCTAATTCAAAGTGAAGTTTCGCTAAACGTTCTTGTTGCTCTCGTATTTCAGTCATTTGTTCCATACTGCAGTCTTTACCTAAAAAAATATCAGTTAAGTTCAATAAATTTGTTCTGACTTTTGAAGTGACTATGTAATTTTCAAATCTGTATAATAACTATACATGACAAAACTTTACAAATTTGAATTTTTAAATACTGTCAACAGAAGTAAGTTCGGAACAAAAAACGTTATTTTTCCCTGTTTTCATCCAAAATACAAATTGTTTTTTAACAAATTTTAAACTGTTCAAAATATAAATGTAATATTGCTATATTTCTTTATATGCACACGTCAACTTTGACCTCCCGATAATTATTAAATAGGTTTGATGCTCAACTTGAAATTTTGCAAGGATTATTTATCACAACAAACTATTATTTCGTAAACATAACCTATAATACGGTTGCTTCTTAGGTACCCTTCTTCGGAGTGCCATATATAACATTAAATTTTCAATAGTAATGGAGAAATAATAAATAAATTTTTATTATTTAATTATGTAATAATAAATAATGTAGAAAAATAAATCTACATATGAAAAAAGCAACAAGAAATTATATTATTTTTTTACGATTTAGATGAAATAAATAAAAAGGAAATTTAAAATAGAACAGAAGTAGCGCTATTATCATAGAAATAAGGATGTTCATAGAAATAAAATTGTATTTTTCAAATTATACAATAAATTGTTTTAACGTAAAAATTTTCGTTAATTCCAACGTCATAGAACTTTTTTAATTAAAGACAACGCTTTTGACAAAGTTTTCAAAACCTTTGCCATGGACAATACAACCCATTTGCGTCTTAAAAAGGGCTGAAATTGCTTGAACCTTGAAACTCAGGGGTTTTCGGGGTCGCTGATTACGAATTCGAAGATAGTTCTTCAAAATTCAAAATGGTGAATCAAATATAGCGTACAATCTTTTAAACAAATTAAAAATTTATTTATTTCATGACCATTTAGTTTTCTTATCATGATAAACACTTATATATTATTAGTTTTAAAAAAATTCAATTTTTGTTAAAAATAAAAATACTGATCAATTTTGTAAATATTGGTAAAATGTAAATTTTATGTACATCAATCGATTTGTTTTGATGGCAGGAATACAACTCTGACAAAACTTATTAAAAATTTTCATGAAGAAAAAATTTATTTTAAAAAATACGAAAAATTTTTTTTTTTCAAAAATTACACGGAAAAAAAATCCCGTAAGAATTTCCGAATTTGTACCGAAATCGAGGATTTGTACAATAAACCATAACTTTTCATGAATATTACGTAAAATCTATCTAACTGTTTTGAAAGAATTCCGGAACTGTATCCGTAAGTCTTTAAACTTATCAATAAAAATAAATTCCTGAAAAAGTCTAGAACTATTTCATAACACAGCCCCACAAAAAAAAAAGTGTCGTGCGCGGCAGACCAGACTAGTCATTTCCCATGTATTTTGACGCGCTGAACACGAATCCGAAGTCCGTTTTGCTCCATCACGTCAGGATTTTTTTCTAACCTCCAAAAACCTGTCGGATTTTGAGAGGTAGGCTATTTTTTTAAAAAATTGATGGATTTACTTCAAAATTGGTATCTAGGGGTTTTTTGGGTCGCTGATGACGAATTTGAAGTTAGATTTTCAAAATTCAAAATGGCGGCTCCAATATGGCGGACGAATTTTGTAAAAGTTGATGGATTTACTTCAAACTTGGTATCTAGGGGTTTTTTGGGTCGCTGATTACGAATCTGAAGTTAGATTTTCAAAATTTAAAATGGCGGCTCCAATATGGCGGACGAATTTTGTAAAAATTGATGGATTTACTTCAAACTTGGTACCTAGGGGTTTTTTGGGTCGCTGATTACGAATCTGAAGTTAGATTTTAAAAACTAGAAATGAAAATTCTTATATACATAAGTAAGGTATTCACGTCTTTTTATGGTAGCGCACTCATTTGTCCTCAAAGGATTTGTGTAATGGTTTTCTTTTCAAATTGGTGCCTCCAGGTACAATATCCCTTTTCAGCATCCAACAGTAGTCGGCCATCATATTTACATCCCATCTTCCTTGATAACGACGCTCAAATTCTTTCAGATCTCGATGGAATCGTTCTCCTTGTTCTTCACTGTAATCTCCCAAATTTTCAGGGAAATAATCCCGATGCGAGTCTAAGTAATGCAACTTTATGCTCATTAAGCATCCTAACTTACCAAAGTTTTTAATCATATCACTAACTATTTGCTCCCAATTTTCACTCTTGTGATTACCCAGAAAATTTTCGACAACTGCTTTAAAACTAAGTTATGCGGCTTTCTCCTTTTTATTCATCTTGGTGATAAATTGCTCATCTTTTAACAATTTGCGAATACGTGGTCCGTCGAAAACCCCTTCTTTTAGTTTCGCATCAGAGATTTCTGGAAACTTTTGTTCCAGGTATTTGAAACAGTTTCCTTTTTTATCTAAGGCTTTGACAAACTGTTTAATTGCTCCTAGTTTCGTGTGTAAGGGCGGAATTATCACCTTTGAAGGGTCGATATCGTCCGCCATATTGGAGCCGCCATTTTAAATTTTGAAAATCTAACTTTAGATTCGTAATCAGCGACCCAAAAAACCCCTAGATACCAAGTTTGAAGTAAATCCATCAATTTTTACAAAATTCGTCCGCCATATTGGAGCCGCCATTTTGAATTTTGAAAATCTAACTTCAAATTCGTCATCAGCGACCCAAAAAACCCCTAGATACCAATTTTGAAGTAAATCCATCAATTTTAAAAAAAAATAGCCTACCTCTCAAAATCCGACAGGTTTTTGGAGGTTAGAAAAAAATCCTGACGTGATGGAGCAAAACGGACTTCGGATTCGTGTTCAGCGCGTCAAAATACATGGGAAATGACTTGTCTGGTCTGCCGCGCACGACACTTTTTTTTTGTGGGGCTGTGTAATATTTTAGGAATTCTCCCGTAGAAATTACGTTTCTTGTGCCGGAATATTTATAATCACCTTATTCCGAATACCTACGTTTACAATTCCGGAAGAATTCCCGAACTCTGCCGTAAGAGAGATAGGCGCACAAACTCCGCGCGCACGTTTTAATAGTGTGTGTTTGTGTGTATGTAAACATGTGGAAGCAGAGTTAGGCCGTTTCCGAATTAGGATTTTTAGCGCACTTTTGATAAAGTGTATACTTGGGAAGTATGCAGTGTCCTTGTTTTTTCTTGCGAAAAATGCATTCCTTTTTTCGCAAGAAAAAACAAGGACACTGCATACTTCCCAAGTATACACTTTATCAAAAGTGCGACAAAAATCCCAATTCGGAAACGGCCTTAGCATTATGTATATGGGTTATGTTATTATGCGCTCCACGTAGCGCACGATTTGGTGTCTGAAACTTTAAAAATATTTTTTTATTGAAATGATAAATATCAAAACATATTTTTGAAGATAAAGTGTCAAAAAATAAAGATCCATGGTGGGCCGGAAAATTTTTTAATTTTTTTCAATTTTTTAGTTTTTTTAAACAAATTAAAAAAAAATTCTTTGCTTTTTGAATTCTATAAAATAGTTGAAATTTGATTCAAAATGTTAATGGGAATTTTTGGGGTAATTCACAAAAATATATATAGCGCGAACGACATTAAAAACTTTGATTTCGGTAATTTACGGAAATTTTCGAGGCAATTTATGGAAATTTATAGATATTTTGTCTAAAATTCATAAAAATATGTAAAGCATAAATCACAATTAAAAATTTTAATTTTGGTAATTTACGGAAATTTTCGCGGTAATTTACAAAAATTAAATAGCGCGAACGACAATTAAAAATTTGTTTTTGGTAATTTATGGAAATTTATGCGGTAATTTAAAGAAATTTATTTGATAATTATAGTAAACTTACCGGAGCTGTGATAGTTTATAATAAATATTTTTAATTTCATTTGTTTCATTGTAGTATTAAACTTACACTAGTGACGGTGGAAATTCTGATGCCGGTGGAGACATTTTTTTTATAATAATTTATAATTTTTTTTTGTTTTTGAGAAAATTATCATTTATTTTTAATCGGTTTCATATGTTTCACATTTATATAGACTACAATAATATAACTACACTTTATTTAACCTTTATTATTTAATTATTTTCTTTTTTTTTTGAAATATTGAAGGGTCGCACAGTGGCCGATTTCCCGAAAAACCTGGCCAAAAGTCAAAAAATTTTTTTTAGAAATTTATACTTTTTATTATTGAATATTATAAAGGAGGGTTCACTGCATAATTTTGCGAAAAAAATTACACTTTTTTTATCACCAATTTATTATGTGAACAAGTAAAAGTGATCTTTGCCAGAGATTTACTCAGAACGTTTCATAACTATAAATTTTCGTCACAGTTAAAATAGTGAAAATATACTAATATACAGCAGATTTTTGAATATCTTTTTTTGGGAATTATTAACAAAGGTGTATGAAATAGGTTGAATGTATTTATCATCACATTTAAAACGTACAGTTTTTAAAAAATGACATTAAACATCGCTATTCATGGCTACGATTTTTGTATTGTTTTATCAACGTAAATCATGAAAATAGTTGTGAAATCCACCGATATCCGCGCCCTACCTGGTATTATCATAAACTAGAATATATTTTTGATTCATTTTAATTGAAATCAGCTGCCCCAAGCTGCCCCTGCAGTTTTGGTATCACTTTTTATTTCACCCAGCGCGGTTTACCGACAGCGCGTTGCACCGGCCGGCGGTGCAACTGAACGTGAAAGACTGACTTTTTCTTCATTCGCATTCGCTTTAAACTAAAATTCTGTAATTTAAAAAAAATAAACTCTAACACATATACGCAATTTTATAATACCAGCAAATATTTTGGATCCGCCATATTGAATTTGATAAAACAAATGTAAAATTTGATTTCAGAAACCCAGTAAACGTAAGTATACTAAGTTTGGTTAAAATCGTACCATTTTTTAATTTTTAGCAAAGTTTTTTAAAATCTAAACGGCCATTTTGGATCCGCCATTTTGAATTTGACAC